TTCTCTACATCGTTATTGATGTGTTGATTGATATCTAGTTCAGTTTCTTCTTCCCAACTCTAGAACTTTACACATTTCTCTACATTATTTGCATGTGACATTTTTCAGTCTTTGTAGTTCCATACTGCCTTTCCATTTTTTTGTAGATCTCTGTGTTTGATTCAGCTACACGCCATGTAGGTGAATATCTCCCAACTTGATTCCTACTATCCTGTTTCTTTTTCTGCTAAATTACTGGCAATTGGACTATTTAATTGCTGGTTCATCTTTTAAGGGTGACAGGTATTACAATTCAATCCGTAATGTCTTTTATGGTACAGTACGTACAGTATCTAATTAACTACCTTAACATCCGGTTACCTTTTGTCACATTACCTAACACAGTACAGACAAGTCTTGTATCAGGTCACTTCTATGCTTAACTAAGCCCTACCTACTTCCCTCCCTTACTGATAACTGTATTCTTAATCTACCTGCATTACAATCCACACATTTTTTTTCATACTCATTACATACAGTATTTACAATACTCAAGCAAATAATGAATGAACAAGTAATTTGTATACAATTTGGTTAGATAGTTAAGAAGGCTAGGTTAAGATGTTAGTGGCTGGGAAGGGTTTATTACATGCAGAGCCGTCCCTGGGGGGGCCAGGGCAATTCATCCACTGCAGGGCCTGCAGGGCCCCTTTGCAGTCTTAAAAATTATATACAGTGTATAACTTTTCAGAAAGTAATTTTCCATCATCAGAGCCTAGAAAACAGAAAGTTTAAATTAAAAAAATACAGGTGATATACAATAAAAACGTAACATTATACCAAAATTTACCTTCCGCCAAAAAAAAAAAAGCATTATAATTTAAAGAGCTTTAGAAAGAAAAACACAACAATTCATAGGAAGCTATATCACAAATGGAAGGCTTTTATTTATATTGACACAAGGCTTCCATAATGAGGAGGTCCGTCTCACAGTTGCTCCTGCCAAAAACTGAGAAATCAGACGGCGAAAATGGGTGGTCAATGGTCAAGTTGGTGGGCGTAGTTACGGATAACTGAATGTGGTGGTTGTGATTAACTGGCCTGTTTCGACGAAATGGCCCAAGTGCTCATGGATGCGAGTTATCAAGTGTCTTTTTCTTTCACCTATATATGCTGCCCTACAGCCACCACACGTAAATAGATAAACAACTGAGGATTGCAGGTGTGTGGGTATAGTGTCTTTAATTTTAAAGAATTTTTTAATTGAACTCTGGGTTTTGAAGACTACCCGGTAGTCTAAGAGAAATTTTTGGATATAATTCATTGAAAAGCTTCTTAAGTTTGTTTCTAAGGGTGAAACTGAGTGGGCCTGTGTACGGAATGGTGAAATAGATAGAATATTTAGGAATGGTGTGGATTTAAACTTTTTGGTTTCTAGGCTCTGATGATGGGAAATAATTTTCTGAAACCTTTGACCTCATGTCAGCAGATGCCTAACTATGCTGGTCACTAATCCTTCAGGTGGTCTCCTGAATCTGGGTGGTAAGGTGAGATCAACTTAATGCGGTTACTAATTCTGGTGTTGGGTGAGGTAAGGGTCGGGGGGCCCCCACTAACGCAAGGCCCAGGGCGGTCGCACCAGTTGCCATACCCTAGGGACGGCTCTGATTACATGTTTGGTTTATCTTCTTACTCCCATAAAGCTGCTCAACAGTTGACTTAAAAACTGCAGACCACATGCACAGTGCAGAGGACACCAGTCTCCTCATCTGGATAATCCAGAATACTGTACATAACTTCAAAGAAGTACAATGTAGCACATATTTGATGGCCAACCATCACTTATGGCATACAAATAGGTTACATTTAACCAAACAAAAATAAACTTTGCATTCAAATATTTTCCTAATGTTGAACACACAATATATCCCAACATTGTACTCAATATGCCCAATGTTCTCAAGCCCCGAACTAAAACAACCACATCATTCCTATAATGAAAAAAGGATTAGGTCATGGTTCCTGCAGTGTACTGTATGTGTTTCCATATTATTTTATAAACTTGTTTGAAGATATAAAATTGCTTATGTAATCCAGGAGAATGCTTGGAACACATCAAATAACTGATGGATTTCCCAAAGGAAGGCAATTATGCTTTGTAGGGACTGTACAGAAGATAAGTGATTTTCAGTATCTAATAACCCATGATTAATAAAAAATACCTGCATTACCAAAAACCAGGCTGATTAACTTTTTTTGTCGGTTACAGCTACCTATTTTATCTTATTCATAAATTTTGCACACTACAAAAAATGACATGAAATACTGTATCATCAAAAATTTTAATAACTCAGTTTTGGGAGAGAAAATCTGAATTCTGATACAAGCAATAAGAGATGTGCTCCTGTACATGTGACTTTTAAGGTATATATCCAAACCATCATGCATGCAGTACTGATCACTGCCCCCACAAAAAGAATCTTACTAGCAGAAAAAGTCATGTTTAAAGACAAATTCAATAATGGACGCCATAATCTCAAATGCCAATCTGAAGGGTAAATTCCCACATTAAAAAGGCATTTTGATTCATGCTCAAAGCTTCTGCTAACTTCATACAAAGCACATTTAAAGTTATTTTCTGATGGCATATATACAACACATTACTGTACATCAGAAATCAGACTAACAAAGGCAAGAAACAAACTACAGTACTGTACTATACTGAATATTCTCACCTCTGCTCTGTCTATATCCAAATTTCAAACTAAAATTCAACCAGTACTGACCATCTGTTGGATGCATCCAAGGAGTAATCTAGCTACCTGTTGGTGATAAAGTATTAAATCAACTGGATGATTTTAAAATAAAAGACTTAAACGTTTCACTCATCCCCTCCCAAAACATACATGGTAAATGAAATGTATTCACTTACAAAATGAGAATATTGATCAGTCCTTAAATCTCATTTTATGGTTGATCCTAGAACTAGTAAGTGTTAATTCATTATAAGCCCAACAATAAGCCTTTGGTCTTGACTTATGAAACTTGACATTGTTGGCTGGGGGTGATATTATGATCCTTCTGCCTACCTCACTACAATCATCAACCCATAAGAGTAAGGTAAAAGAAAAGGTTTTCCCTCATGGGCACTAGAGGGAGGATGCTTAAACAGTTACAGTTCATGATTTTCCTTCAGGGGAAAACCCACATGACAATCCACCAGAACAGCAGAAACTAAGACCAAAACAACTTCTTCCCATTTCTGGTTCATATCTAGAAAAAGATACTTCCCCTAACACAATCATCTTAATTGCTGATCCAGATGTATTAGCAGGTTCCATGATGTGCCCAGTTTCTGAAGAAGCTGGACACTGCAGGATTCCACACCAACACCACACATGATAAAACAAAATAATTCCTACCACACTTTTTCTTTCAGAATGATCAAGACTTACAAAGTCTCTTTGGGAGAAGCACCCATTACATATCTCCAGACCAAAGAAAGCACCAGCATCCAGGGCCAAGTTCACAGTCACCGGTATTTGTTCTGATACTAGCCAATGAGCCTTCTGTGACGCTATTGGCAAGCATCACAGCCATACAAATTCACATCAAGGGCAGAATTGGATTTGAATTTGATTCGACAAAATGGAATTGACCTCTTCCCTGCTCACAGGAACATGTTAGGTCTTTCTGTAACATTAGGCTACATTTAGGCAAAACATTATGTTCCCAACTGAAATAATTTTTAGTGTATGAGAATTATTTATGGTTCTAAAGAAAAAAATATATATTTTGGAAAAACAGGCCATTTTCAATCCTAGATTACTCTTAAGATGAAGAACAACAATAACTGTTTGTAACAGAGGAATTAAGATTCCGCTCATGGTTGTGGGTTACCAATGAACGAAATACAGTAAAAGTCCAAAAATCTGGACCACCCGAGAATCCGGACTTTTTGAAAACTCAAACTTAACTTCTTTTTTTTTTAAATTTAGCTGGCTTTTGTGCGTATGTGTGCATGCGTGAGCGCCACAGCTGCACAGCGACAACAAGCGACCACGCGGTCGCCACTTTAAAACGAGCAATCAAACTGTGACAATGTATGTAATTTTGAGTCCTACTCTTTCCATTTACAGAGTACTGTACAAGCCCATAATAATGGCTCCTAAAGTAGATAAACTTCGTTGTGTAAAGAGAAAGAAGAACACGTTGAAATTGAGTGACAAACTTGAAATAATTAAGAAACTAGAACGTGGTGTGAGCAATACTGTTCTAATGGAAACATACGACATTGGAAAGTCTACAATTTATGATATAAAAAAGGCAAAGAATAAAATTTTAGAATTCACAGCTTTATCTTTAAAACTGCTCGTTTTGATAAATGAAGCATGCTATATTTGCTAATGAATAAACTATCAAAATGTACCTGTCCATCTCTTCTTTATTTCTCTTGAAATTTAAATTTTAAAAGTACTGCCTGAGAATCCGGAAAATCCGAAAATCTGGACCGACCCAATCCCCAAGCAGGCCGGATTTTTGGACTTCTACTGTATAATGACTGACTTAGTTAAGGAGGTAATAAAATCTACTAATCTACAGGTCTCATTAACAATATTTTTCCACAAGAAGCTACTGCCGTTTTGATGAGTTCAGTTGGTTACATATTTACTGATAGACTTCAGCTAATGACAAAAACTGAGCAACCTTCATTGATTCATTATGCAATTTTTTTTTTACTTAATTTTACCTTATTGCATATGGAAAAATATACTTGATAATAATTCAGATAATTCAATAAAATTCTGATATAAATTCTGGTAAACTTTGCTTTTCTATGGAGGACATATTATTTATCCAATATTTACAATACTTATCAACATTACATATAAATTTTTCATCCAGCTATAACTTCACTTGTTAAAGCCATCAGTGATAAGTAGAGGAGTATCAGCTGATGGGATGACTTCATTTTCTCTTCTGGCTGTGTTGCCTCTTGGGGGGTGACCATCTGAAATTACAAAATCATAAAATTGCTGAAGTAGATGACAAACCAGACTGAATTATAAAATTTCAGCAGAAGAATTATTTTCGTAAGTTAATATTTCATGAAGTAGGGCAGGGTAAAATTGCTATGTCCCATAACCACACCTGTAAAGGTATAAATATGCCTCCATGTTGAGGGACAATGAAGGGTTTGTGGGGGGCAGACTACCCGAGAGACTGGTAGCATTACATAAATGAATTTTCCAACAGGCACTTAAAACAACAATCGTTTTTTATCTTATAAATTTATTTTATGTAAACTGAACCTGAACAAGCCAATCTATAGGCACTGGTGGATCAAGTATTGCAAAACATAACTTGGATAAAAGTAATATGCCTCTGATAAAAATGTACTGTACTTAAATAAAAGTAAATAGTCTTTCTTCATGTTACTTCAAGTAAAAGTACAGTAATAAGTTTATAAAGTACTCAAGTACAGTATACTCAGAATCAAAATACCATTGCACTAAGAAACTGTCTAAGAATTAAGACATACAGTAATGTAGTGCCAATACTGTACTGTACTTAACAAACCAGATAATTCTAATTCACCAGGTTGATGCCTGTAGCTTGTAGGCAAAAATGTCCTAATAACAATAATGTACTAGGTACACTCGCTACAAAAAGTATCTACAAAATATTTTGCTAGACAATATGACACAATGGAAGAATAATTTTGACAACCATACTGAAACAACAGGAGTCATATTATTAATTCTGACATCCATCACACCCCACCTTGAAGATACTGTACTTTCTGTAGCGAGTGTACATATTAAATGATTCACAACATTATTTGCTTAAAAAAAATAAATCATCAATATCTACATATTTGGTACATAATTACATATACAATACTGTACTACATAAAAGTGAAAGTGGGTCCCATAGACGTGACTACCCATTAGGGACAGTGTAGACATAGTATATTGTATACTAAGCCTTCGGTACATAAGGAGGCACCATGACTGGGACTGCTCTTGACCCCAAGTTGTAAACTTGTGTACCCATTTACACCTGGGAGTGCTCAGGAATAGAACCACCGACCCCTGGAACAGGAGGCGAGCGCTGTATCCACTCAACAACCGTACACCTCTACTGTAGTATAGTACATAATGAGGTATATAAACTCATCAATTTATCTGGTTCAGTATACACTACTGTTTATGGCAAGACTTTTAAATGTAACCTTAATAAAAGCTAAACTTCAAAGTTTTTGCTACATTTTGCAGCTCTTTTGGGGTTGGCAAGACAGCGTGCAGTCAATGCTGAGTTCTGATTGACTGGAGGTACGTTGCAAAATCACTGAGTTCTGATTGCCTGGGAAAATATCACACACTCAAAGCTGAGAAAACAAAAATAAGTTAATGAGTTGCTTGAAAAAATAAATAATGAAGTCAGAGTGTTGATAATTGTCTGAAATGGTAAACAAGTAAAAACAGAGAGGAAAAAGTTACCGGGCATTTTCAAAGAAACTTTGTTATTCAAGAAAGTCATTTGAGCTCAGTAACAATGTAATTTTGCTTTGTTACCATCCACCTCTATCTATATACACCTAATACCAGCAGTTTGCAAGTCAAGACTTTACCCAATTTTGTTAAAAGAGTCCAATGATCTGTAATTAGACAGAATAGAAATGGTACCCAGGGCAAAATTATGATGATGTAGCCTTGTCTCTATGTAGGCATCAAGTCCAATACCTACAGTTCCAAATACCAGAACAGCACATCTCACCATGTGCCTCCACATTTCTCATTGATATGCATTCCTGAGGTGATGGAATGTTTTCCAATTTTCCAATATTAAGAAACCCTTTGCCTTGCTTTTGTCCTATTATTGATATTGTTGGGTGTCACACCAAAATGTGGCTTTTCAAAATAGCTATGAAAGACAGAAGGAAAACCCACTGATGTGTTACAAAACAGAGGGACATGAATGAAACATAGATGAATGTGATAAATTTTAATTATTACTATGTTTTGTATTTTATAGTCCTATGTATTTTATTTATAATATGAAAGTTAGTTCACTTTGTATGCTTTTTAGGAGCAATTCACCCATTTAAAGACAATTAGACTGACCTCAACATGTTTGCAAAGGTTTGATGGCACCACAACATAAGAAGTCACATCAACAATTTTCAGTAAATGTAACAAACACTATGGGTGGAGAAAGCTTCCTACTGTCTTCTTAAACTTTAAATATTTCACAAGGATGGTCAAGAATGACCTGCAGTACCCACAGAATCATAGATAGAAACAGTAGACTTTATCACTGTCACGTCATTTTCAGCTGCTCCTCCAAGGCTGGGAAAGGAGACTGAGCACCAAAAGTGACATCACACAAAACAACATACATGATTGGCTACTGTGATTAGTTGTTTTATCCAAGGAAATTTCCTAAATCTTTACAAGAAGTTCTATGCAAGTACTGTAATATGTTTCAGTAAAATGATAATTAAGGTAGTCGTGGGCAAAAGTTCGCTTCCTGTGGTGAAACTGAGTCATGGGAATGAGTCTCCGCACTGACTTACCCTGACTGTTTCATCTCATTAGGGGTCGATGCTGCTTCATTTTGGGCGGGAGCGAACATTTGACCCCGACTGCACAGTGCAATATTTTTCCCTTAATATGTACTTACTGTAAGTTAGAGAAGTTCATTATAAAAACTTTCTAAAAAGTTTATCATAAAAACTATAAATACATTAGTACTTAAGTTTTGATACTTAAATATAGTTACTGTACTTAATTACTTCACAGTTTTACATCTCTGCTGCTGAGGTCCAATCACCTGAAGATTAGCTCCCAGATAGTGTCTGGTGGTTAAACTTCAGGTTGGTTAAGCAAGGGTTGAATATTTAGGTAAGCACTTGGGGCTAAACTTCAGGTGATCTGAATTTATTTATATGCCTGTGCATATACTGTACCAAGTTTTTATGATACTGTACTTTTTTTTTAGTCTATGGTCTTGGATCATACACATATACAGCACTGTACTGTAATGTTTTTGAAGGATTACAATCCATGAATGATGGAGGGGCAGTGTCATCATAAAACAAAGAAAAACTTATCAACTAGTATGGACATTTGTTCAGTAGTATGTACCAACTACCAAATTAAATATATTTCTTCAATTTCATAATATAAATATGAATGAGTAAATATATAGTACATCAATTACCATACATCAGACTTGTTCACCTTTTCCAGGTTCTTTATGTTTCCATCTACTTAAAACCATAAGTCATGTTCATTACTCTAAGGAAACATCAACATACTTGGTACATTTGCTGATGTTCAACCTCTATGGGGCCTCATTATTATCCCCAACAATTACATATATGGTCAACAGGAACACTAAAAGCAGGCACAGTGAAAATGATAAGTGTAAGATTGACCCAGGTCAACTATTGCCATGTTCAGGTACAGTAGTGGATTAGTGATCTGAGGTGAGGTACCTTTCCCTACCTGAACCAAAACTTAACCAGTTGACAACTCCCTCCCAACTGACCTAAAAATCAATAAATTTGACATCTCCAAAGGTCTCAAGTAAAACTCCAAGATCAAAGGTGTCTGAGACCAATTGAGACCTACATCACTGATCTACACTCACAGTGAATTCTAGTCATTTCATTTTAATATGAAGATAAGATGACTATTAATGTATAATAGTCTTAAGATATGGCCTAAACATCTTAGCCACCACCTACAAGAGTTGCTGGATAATTTAAAGATTTATTTAAATTAAAATGTTGAAAATTAGGGGAAAGACGTTGAGAAAAAATAGGTATAAGCACGAGTGTAGACACAAGATCTGCTATTATAAAGCACTTATGGAACCAAAATTCAATTTAATACAAAATTGTATATAAATAATAACCTATGGAACTTGAAATGAATTACAATCAAAGGCATGACAAGCATAAAACTTACCTCAACAGTGATGAGTCAACTGTTAGCCTTGGCCGCTTAAACTGAGCTGAGTTAATATATTCCTCTACCAGCTTTGGTGTCACACATATTACATGTTGGCCTTTCCAGTACTTGACGAGGTTGATATTCTGTAGTGTTGAAATGATGTCCTGTTGTGTGATGCTCGTCATTTGGCTAAAAAAAAAAAGAAGTAAATAGACTGTATACAGTTAACCCTCACTTTACACGGTCCCGCATTCCGCGTTTCCACGTTAACGCGGTGCCTTGCCAGAACCTCACGTGCTCACACTACGCGGTACGTGAACCCCATTACGCGGAGAGTGTCCGGCGCGACGCTATTTTTAGATTCGCCCCACCCGCCAGCCTGCCTGCCTGCCTCTCCCTCCTCCACCCTCTTCCCATACCAACATTACCTAATACCTGTAACACATAATCTGTCTTAAAATGTATTGCTGTGAATGTGCAAAGTAGACATCTTATAAATGTTACCATCACATTCCATGCACTGTTTTATCTTTTCTTTGATGTTATGCACAAGGTTAAGGAATGATGTAGTTTACATCAGATGACAAAGTGGATATTTTTCAAATGTACTGTATAGTATAGTATTTGCTTTTTGGACACATCAAAGCAGAATTCTTGTAGCATCAAACTGAAAGTGAAAGTGGGTCCCTTAGGCATAGCTGCCTGTTAGGGGCAGTATGGATACAACACACTGTATACTTAGCCTTCAGTACACAAGGAGCCAGCGCTAGACCGCATTCATGTCTCCACTTTGTAAACTTAGGTACCCATTTACAACTTGGTGAACCAGGAGTGCCTGGGGATCGAACCACTGACTCACAGAACAAGACACGAGTGCCGTATCCATTTGACCGCCGCACTCCTAACGTCAAACTACTTACACATAAATATTGTACTGAAGTATCATTAAATACAGTACAGTACAGTATATGTGTTATGCTTGCCCACCTCTACAAATTATTGTGCTAACAACCATGATTGCATGCATTATCTTTTTCTCAAGTCTTTCATCCCATTTATAACACAGTACATGTGTCAGTTGCACACCAGAAGTTGACCTCATTATTCATTACTTAGGGAAAATAAAAACACCGAGGAGAATTTTTTATAGATAAAGAAAAATTAGTTTTGAGATCACATTAACCGAGTTAAGTGAGCATAAATAGAAATAAATGCCAATCACACACATCTATTTTTTTTTGCTTACCTGAGGTCCTTAATAGAAAGGGTACCCTTGAAGTCTCTGAGAATTTCAAGGAGCACCCACGTCCAGTACGATCTGTATGAGAGTTTTCCTAAATCTGATAGAGGCTTCTCTGGGCTACCCACAACACCTTCCAACTTGCTTAGTTCATAGCTGAAAAGAAAAAGGAAAAATATAGGATATCCACTGTTAAGGCATATATTTGAACAGTTTTAATATTATAAGACATAAATACAGGATTGTACATATAATGGTACATTTTTACCTGAAAGCTATTAGGAGTTTTCCATAACCTTTTCTTTGGAATGGTGGCAGTGTCATAATGCATGCAACATTGTTCCCATCTGGAGACTCTTTTTCCTAAAAAGTAATGAAAATTAAATTAATTTTTTTTAAACTTAATTTTACGTAAGAGTAATTTTGTAATCTTATCGGCTAAGACATTCTTTTAAAGTAGAATATTGTGAGAGGATTTACAGAGAACCGAATGATGCAGTTGACAATATGACGAGGATTACGCATAAATCAATAATCAGGAGCCATATAAAGTCGCATGTATGCTATAAGTATTTGTCTAAAGCGACTATAGTTTACAATGAGGGACTTAAAAGATGAAAAAATCTGACAAGCAGCAAGTTAGTTAGCGTAAAAATATTACTTTTGACTCAGTTATGAGGTCAATTCAGTAGTCAGTAGTTAATCTAGGTGCCATCCTTAGGTGTGAGGGCTGAGGGCTGGTGACCAGTGCCCCTTACTTCAAACACTAAGGTTGTCTTAACCAATCCTCCTTGATTATGAATCTCACCAGAAACCCAACTTTTATTATTAATCACCCATCTCATTCTCTGCCTTCCCCTGGCTATATCTTCAGTTTTCCCATTAATGTCTCTAGCTATATAATGTAACCATATATTATCGGACAGAAGTATCTCATTTTCATAATATTTTTTAAATTTCCAGCATTTCTCTTGTTGCTCCAGCCAATCTTGTTACTTTTACAAAGGTTACTCAATCTGTGTAACTTATAGAGTACAGGTATTCAGCATTTACTGTAGCACCACATTTTGAAAGTAAGTACCCTCCTGGTGTTTGCTGTAACTGTCCACACCTTTAACCCATACAGTAGTGCTGACGATACACAGCATTTCAGGCAGCCTCTTTCTCAAACCAATATTAATGCCCATTTTTATAACATTTCTAAGACTACTAAATGCCATTCTTGCTTAACTTATTCTTCTTCCATTTTCTCTTTCACATCCATTATCAAGAGTTATGTGTCTGCCTATTTATACAGTCCAGTACAAACATTTTAACCTGTTTATGTTTTGTTGTCTATCATGACTTAAGATTTATTTTAAAAATTTAGAAAAAATTAATGTATGTTCGTCTTTACAGCACCAATTTCAAGCTCATTTTCTCCATCTTATTTACTTATCACTAACCCAAATATTATAATGTCTCTTCACTATTCACAAAAATTAATGATTCTGAAGAATATTTTAGTATTAGAGATACAGTATACAGTATATTCACCCAAACCAACTATACAGTACATTAAGATCATTCCTTACTTACACTGCAGCTTCCTGTACAATTTTAGGGCTGTGGCAATGGGATACATACTGTACAGGTAGTTAACTTTACTTCCTGAATATGACCAGGAAAAAGGTATACCTTGTGTTCAGAGTTGCTCAAATAATCATATAGGAAGACAACCTAAATGAATAGCAATAAGAAACTTGCAGGTAAAGAGGAACTCTAATGCAAGATTTAATAATGCCCGACTAATATAAATAAATGCCACATATAAATAACATTAAGTCAAGTATTAAAACTATTATTACACAAAGAAAATACACAAGGTTGGTAAAATAAAATCCCTCACCTTTGAAAAGTAACCCACCAAATGAGCACCTTGCTTGTCCACTTCACAGAGAATATAAAATAGGAATGGCTCAACATCAAAATACAGTGTTTTGTGATCAAGAAACAATTTGGCTAAAAGACACAAATTCTGACAGTAAATCTTGTGGTCAGCACCATCCACTTCATAGATGCTCAGAGTTCCCTTCCGATAAATGTCACGGCCAGGAGGCTGTCTCCATGTGCATTCACTCTGGAAAAAGGAAAAACTTTATTTAGTATAAAATGAAATTCATCCATTTGCACCAGTCACCTTGGGATGGTAATGGTTCTCATATAATAAGATGATAATAATATACCATAGCATAACATAAACTATTCAAACTCCCAAGAACTAATCTTAACTATTCATTTACAACAAGTTGCCAGCAGTAGCCCAAATTCCAGAAAAAAAAATATTTATATAGTGTATACAGTATATATTGTACATGTGGGATTGCTATTTTAATTACAGGCAGATTCTGATTTACAAAGATTTGATTTACCCAAATCCGCAGTTACCAAATTTTTTTGGTCCCACACTTTGATAATATGAGTGGAAACCATAAATTACAAAAATAAATTAATTAGCAATACAGTACAGTATATGTATATGTAAAGAAAATACAATACAGTGTATGCTAAAATAATGGATTTTCTTTTACTACTGCAGCATGCTTACTTATTTCAATAACTTAATTCATTATTCTCTAATATTTGCAATGTTTATTAAGTCTACAATTAAGCTTTCTCAGTGAGAGTTAACATGTTGAGTGGAGAAGCTGGATGGGGGAACGAGGGCAGCGTCACAGCTAAGCTGAGATGCTATAGCGAACTTTTAGTCCATTCGGCTGTGTCTTATGTAAATGGCAGTTGTGTCAATCTTTCATTTAGGTTTTCCTTACTGGTTGTAGCTGCATATTTTTTTATAGATAGTATTTTACTAATGTTTTTAATATGTTGGGAAGTAAATTACAGTAGATGGGTACTATTTTTCATTAGTTAAGAAGGTATTTTTTGGTTCTTGAAACAATTTCATGTTTTGGGGGTATAATATTAGGGTTTTCTTGTCGTTGGGGAACCAAACCCTAAATTTCCCATTTGTTTTGTTATTCAAGATACAAATGGTTTTGCAGGAACCTAACCCATTTGCTATGCAAGGGATACCTGTATGTGGAAAATTAAATATAAGAAAATTATTCTATATTCTTAAATTTCATACGATAATTATGTACCTGTACAATAAAAGTGTAGAGCTGTAAGAAAAGGTGTGAAATTTAGAAGTGAAGAAATGCTTGGAGGTGGGGAGAATGTTGGCAACGAACAAGTGGAGTGTCACTGTCGGCCAAGACGAGTGAGACACCTGGCGGCTGGTTGGTGGGAGAGTGGGAGTTGCTGGACGGGAGTGCTGGCAGACATACATAACAGTTTGTACATCTTTAATGACTTTTTGTTACTTGAACATTTGTACACTACAGTATAGCACTTTATCCAGGCACTCGATCCAGTTTTTGCAGAATTTCCACTTTTTTCTACACTTGGCACTGTTAAACTCTTTTGTACCACCTTTTTTGTTTGTCTGAGGGCATTGTGAAAACAAAATCAAATCAATATTAATTTAAAAAACACAAACCACACCCGGCAGAACCCAAGACTCCTTGTAGTACTGGTTCATAGTTCAAGAATCTGTGACCACAGCATTTGCTCCATGCAAAAAATGGGTGACATGATAGCTCATCAAGGAAGCATTTATTACTAAGTCCCATCACTGAGATAAGATAGATAACAAAAACATCCATGATTGTGTAGCATGGTGTGTGGTCTTACTTGGCAATATTTATGCTGCACACACATATGATTTTAATAAATTTTTTACTACCTTTAATAATTTCTTATAACATTTACATGAACAATGTACAAAAAAATCTATTGATAAATGACTCTGGCACACGAAATGCACATGCATGCACTATTTATTTCCAAAATCTTTTCTTCAGTGGTGCTGCAACTTACCAAATGATATCTATAAGTTTTCTCCAGTCTCATATATTTAAGGCAGTACTGGCAGATGTATAACTTGGGGACTTTGCCATATTCTTCTGGGTATGGGCTAAAATACCAAGTGTCAATTTCAAATCTGCCAATCTGCACTCTATCAATGTATTTGACCTTTGTGATAGCTTCATGTTCTTTCTCCAAAGCAGCAGTAGTTGGATCCATATCTGCATATGTCTGCAACAAGCCAAGGTTACATTTAGTGATTATTGACAAGTAATGGCCACCAATTTGAGAGAAAATAATAATAAAAGTATGTTTGGAAACACTGTACCTGTATGTTCTACATTTTATGAGTTGTAAAATGTGCATGAGAAGAAAGCTGCATGGTATTCAGCTGGGTATTTGGTGGAAATAGGTAGCAACCAAAAATATTTAGGAGATTAAACAATAATATATAGGTCATAAAAATGTTTACTGACCTTGGTAAAAATGTTTTTTAATGTACGTAGTAACTGGTCTGGTAATTTTTTTCTTCAAAAATATCTTTTCAGCCTTAATTATTAACCAGTTTAAGGCCATCACAAAACACGTCTCAAAATTCATTACTTTAAAATTGTTAAAACAATGACCAACTTAAATCTAATGGATGAACAAATTTATTAAACAATATCTTTCCATCATTTTCTTGGAAGATAATATATTTAAAATATTTTCCTTCCAAAACACACGATCAGACCTACGTTTATACTCAAATAAAATACTGTATTTCATTCATCTGAAAGTTTTATGTTTAACGTTGAATTACCTTTTGTACATGATTAATTTCGTCATGCTTCCGTTTTTGATTTCTTGTGATTTTTCTACCTGCTGTTTGGTCATTAAGGAGGTCATTGCCTGTCAAAGTCTTGTCTCCTCGCTGATATAACTCGGACAAATCAATTCTGGAATATATACCAAGTCTTACCTTCACAAAGCAAATTCAAAATTGTAATGTTATACCACAACAGTCTTGTGATCACTCAAGACATGCTTCTAACTGATAATTATCATTCATTCATTTAAAAAAAATAATATATGTACAAAACAATTTTAATTTGTCTTCATCTGAAACAATATCTAGCTCTGATCAACAACTGCCCAAGTCAAACATGAAACAGATAGTAGGGAAGCTGATAAAATGTAGTGAGTTGGAAAATTTAAATATGTATTGTACTATTACACATGGACTGTAAATTATGTCACACTGTACCTCTCTTTAGTGACCCATTCATCCAGTCGACGATTAAGGCCATCATAATGAACATAATATTCATCTTGCATTTCCACATCATTGTATCGCCTCTGGATAATCTCGGCTGCCTCTAAAAAAGAAATGACTATCAATTTGTAATATCCTTCCTTAACACTCACCTGCTGTAAATGGAGTTCATATAACTGACTCCCAAATTTTCACCATCAGTATTTACATTCATCTTCTTGTAATGTGCGCTCTAATCCTTACTTATGTACTTAAGCAAATGAGCTCTATGTCTGACTCTGATAAACCTTATACCTGTATATAGTCAAACTGCAAGTATTATGTGGCCTTCACAAATAAAGTGAATTGACAAAGACCTTCAATGAACAATGTCTAATTTTAGCAGGAAATAACAGAAGTGCAGCGACATTTTTCAGTATACTGTACTGTCTACAGTACCAATCAGTGTTTTGTTCCTGCTGATATAAGACAAACTTCAGTAAGAGTTTTGTCAATTTGCCAAAGGTATGGAGGCCATAGCCTACTTACCATATTAATTTGTAAAAAAAAAAAAAAAAAATGGGGAGCATTTCCAAAACTGGATTCATCCACTAAAAATACAATACAGTACAGTACATTCAAATAACAAATATTCTGTAAAACTGCAGAAGGTTCCATACGTATTAACAGGAATTTTATAATGAAACTTTTTGTAAATGTTAATTGTTTAAACAAAAATAATGGATGTAAATACTGTACGTATATAAATCCCTGGGGGTAAAAATATATGTACAGTATTGTTGAATTATTTGCCTTAAAGGTGGACTTGTATTAGCCCCAAAGCTAATATATAGACTTCAACATTAATGAGGGTTACATTCCTAGATACTAGTGCCATAAATGTCAAAACCATTAACTGTACTGTAATGTTAATACCTGTAATTAATCCATAAGTGATTTATGATCAAAGATGGAGAAAACTAAAAGAAAGAAAAAAAAATATGGGAACACAGGAAAAGACGGATACCGCCAGAAAGTTGTTTCATTTTGTTAATTTTTTTTCACAAATGTTCTTTGGAGTATAGCAAGTAGAGAAATAAAAAGTATAATTTTTTTTTTACGCGATTAGCCAGGGCACAGGTCAATGACCCACATCAGGGCCTGGGGTGCAAAAATATAATAATAATAATAATAATAAAAATTAATATAAAAATTATGAAAAATATTAAAAAAAATATTAATTGGTCACAATTTTTGTGATGCCATATGGCAGCAGGGTCTACCATTAGACAACACATTAAGCTTCCAATATATTCCCAGGCAGTAGTCCCTGTTTGATAGCTGCCTACTATTTTTTTTTTTTTTTTAGTTTTTCTCTATCTATGATAATAATCACCTGTGGTGGGCAGGGTATGAAGGTAGAGGGAAATTTCAGGGGTAAAACACAATGAAAAACTGATCATGTGATACTAAAATGTTGCCTGTACATGCTTTGTACGTGAATAAATTAATTATTTACTGTATATATTCCTTAGAAAAATCTGTTGTTGTCGTCTGCTCTTGTTCGTTTCCGTGCAACAACAGACCTACTCAGTCTGAGTGTACTTGCATGACCACAAAAATAAATTACACCATACCGATTCAAGAAAGTTGCTTTTTTTGACATCAAATATCAAAGTAAGTACTTTCTGTTTATTATGGCAGGGGGCCTGAGGACAGAACCCCCCAGCTAGGAAGTTAAGTAAGGTTATGTAGGTTTCTTTGGGGTAAATTTTCACTTATTGCCACTATACAAAATCTAAGTTGAAACTATGTTTTCCGATGGTTTTTGATCTGTTATGAGCGAATTTGACCTTCATTTTTGGTGTAAATCAATAGTTTTGAGATAAGTCCCCCCTCCCTCCCATCTCTTGAATTAGAGAATTGCTATAAAAATCAAGGTTAAAAATATTCAAAACACATCGAAAACCATCAGAAAACCTGTTTTGAGTCCAACCTAACCTAACCGGGAGAAGCTCCACAGTCATTCAATGTTCTGGATGTGTACCGTCATGTATGAACATACATAATAAACTGTTAAATATCTCGTTTAAACGTAATTTGTGCCCGGAGTGCTATCCACATTCGTTTGGTGGTAACAAGTGGTTAGGTCTGTTCTTCATACCCACAAATGTTATGTAGCATTTATTTAAAAAATATCATTTTTTTAGCATATTTCCACAAACTACACGTGTCCACTATAACAATGAAAATCCGGCGTTTTTATAATTGTTTTCAATCAATTTCGCTCGCTGGTTAGTCCTATATAATTACCTTACTTTTCCCCTTGGGTTTTTTCTTCTCATAAGTAGGTGTTCCATACGGGTCCGACTAATTACCCAAATGTAGCCGGAATGAAGTCAAATAATGGTCCTACATGAATAAATCAGACTGTCAATCACTTCTCGACTAGTATTTGGTGTCACAAAAAATTGGAAAACTTAATTTAATCTGAGTTAATAGATCAAGTGCATGTACCTAACCTAACCTAACCCAACACAACTCAGATTAAATTAAGTTTACCAATTTTTTGACTTTATGACACCAAATACTAGTCAAGAAGTGATTGACAGTCTGATTTATTCATCTAGGACCATTATTTGACTTCATTCCGGCTACATTTGGGTAATTAGTCAGACCGTTCCATACAATTACCACAATAAAACACTAATTACTGCAGAATTACTTAACATAGGTGGTAATCATCTTTGCTTTTACCTTAGCTGTTAAATGAGTAACATAGCCAATAATATCCTTCAAAATTAATAAAGAAAACCACTAATACTTACGCCAGGTCTCGTCAGCACGCCGCACCATATACTGCTCTCCGATGTTTAACTTTATATCATCACCCTCATTTTTCCCTTCTTCTCTATCTTCCCTTTTCTTTTCACCATCAGTTACTATTAAAGGTTCATTTTCCTTGTCTACACCAGAAGGATCAGCATCAACCTTGTGTATGTCAGTGGGTTTGGTCTCCTTAGCCGCCATTTCTGTTGTTTGTTTACTCAGACTACGAGCCCATATACTTTAGGTCTCCCGCCATCCAGTACAGTACGTGTGTAAAACATTTTAAGGTTAACCTGAATTATGGTGTGAATAATTGAATATATTAATAGGAATTATTATTGCTCAATATATGAAAACAAAAAAGGTTTATATTGAAGAATGAAAATAATATTAATGCCCCAGACAGTCGCAATTTAATGTAATATATTAAGTTCACTTCTTATGGAGACCAATGTCTAGTACCAGAGACTATACAGTATAAGAAAGACGAGAGAGCAAGGCGAAAACCGCGTAAACCACATAGATATAGTTCGCCGCGGGGTCAACAGATGGCGCGGATCGTCTGTCGTCTGTCTGTTTACATGAAGACCGGGACAGTTAACCCTGAGTGGGCGGCCCCGTGTGTACAACAACAGATCACCCTGAACTGTAGAATTTACTGTGTGATATTGTATGTGTGTGTGTGTGTGTGTCAGTGTATATGTGTGCGTGCGTGTGTACACATTAAAAACGTCAAGGCAAAAACATCAAGGTAATATCAGCCCACTCCGTTGGTTACCACGGAAACATGGACACGCTACCCGAGTTTTTAGTTGGCCGCGTTGCCAACAGATGGTGTTGATCAGAGCTCAGTAGCTCACGTTTCTTTTCTCAATAAAGGTAAACGCTTTCCCCTCCTTTTTATATAGTCTTTGTACAATAAAAAAAAATTATCCTACTCTTAAAACTTTTTCACGTTATATTAAATTCCTCTATTCGTTTTTCAAAATTTATGATCGTAAGCGAAATTTAGAAAGATTACATCAGCTAGCCGAAAAATTACATAGTAAATACTGTATACATCAAACGCTCGAGTAACGGCGTAAAAAATAATATTACAAATTATCCAAAAGAGATACAATGATAAAAAAGAGATCGGCACTTTTATGGGTAATTTCATACATAGATTACGAAAATAGCACTGACTTTTCTGTGTTACCCACCAATTCCATGTAAATGACCCTACTGTATATAATATCCTAATACAATATTTCAGAACATGTTGCTTATAAGATATGTTCATGTCTCATTTTTTTTTACTTGAAATAAGAACAGAATTCCTAGGTTCTAAATGATTTTGCAGGTTATATTGTTATTACCTATGCCATAATGCCTAGAGAATGCAAGAATTCGCCAGACAGCTTCTGTTATATTTGTGGATCACTAACATTGAAACAGTACAAAAGACGACTGACTTCTCACGTGAAGAAACTTTATGAATTGTACTTTGGATGCAAAGTTTGTGATCAGGACAAACGCTGGGCACCTATGTTGTGTTAGGTGCGCAAGTTCACTCTCAGGATGGTTCAGAGGCACCGGTCCTGGTCCAACATTTGGTGTTCCAGTGGTTTGGAGAGAGCCGCTGGCCATTCAACTATCTGCTACTTCTGTTTAACAAATATCACAGGTTTGTTTTACACACTTTATGTTCTCTGTCTGTCAAAGTATTGTACTGTCTTCTGTATTACAAAACTATGTGATAACCGTCTAATGTTATAATGTCTATCGTTCCTTATCACAAGTTGCAACCGGAAGGGCAAAAAGGCTATTGTCTATCCGAATCTTCGTTCTGCCATGCGTCCTGTGGGACATTCTACTGATATACCCGTCCCTCAGCCTCCAGCCGAAATGCCAAGCGATGACACGGGCAACTCAGAAGAATCAGAATCAGATGACGATTCCTATGAGCCGCAACCTGAATCTGGCAAGAAACCATATCTCATAACGCAGCCTGAACTCAGTGATTTGGTCCGCTATCTACCTGTCACCAAACAACAGAGCGAACTGCTAGCCTCACGTCATCAAGAATGGAATCTGTTGAAGGAAGATGCAAGGATTACAGCCTTCAGAAAACGCTCTTCAGATTTGCAGCAATACTTCTCAATGGAGAACAACCTCTGTTTTTGCAACGATATATGGGGACTGTTTGATGGTCTTGGTTTGAACTATGAACCTAGCCAGTGGAGGTTGTTTATTGACGCGTCTCTCTCTAGCATTAAAGGTGTTCTGCTACACAATGGAAACACAATGCTGTCTATTCCGATTGCTCACTCAGTCATCTTAAGAGAGACATGAAAATCTTGCTTTCATTCTAGACCGCATAAAATACAATGAATATGAATGGCTCGTTTGTGTGGATTTGAAAGTTGTTGCTATTCTCACTGGGTTGTAAGCTGGCTATTCTAAATTTATGTGGTTTCTATGTAAATGGGATAGCCGAATAAGATCGGAACAGTACGTGCGTTCAGTTTGGCCACCACGGGATTCACTGACACCCGGATCCCACAATGTTATTAATGAACCACTAGTAAAGAAGGAGAAGATAATTTTGCCACCACTCCACAAAAAATGGGTTTAATGAAACAGTTTGCCAAAACACTGAAACATGACAAACCAGCTTTCCAATATCGCAGGAAAAATTTCCCCAAATAAGTGATGCTAAGATCTATTTGTCGGCCCTCAAATTCGTCAACTCATGACACAACCCTTACACACTATTAGCTTAGGTAGGCGGTCAGCCCGTTCTCTCTTACCTCCTCCTAAATTTCTTCAATTTCCGAACTATAACTTCCTTCCCCCACCTCTAATCCCCTTTCACCCTCCTTTCTCTAAAAAAGAAAAAAAAAGAAAAACGGCACTGACCCTCTCCATAAAGTTGCTAGGAATTACAACTTACAGTATCACAAACATCTAAATGTATTCCTAAACCAGATTTTCTAAAGCTTAAGGAACTTATGTTGACTCAAACCAGATTTTTTTCATAATATAAACTAAGGTAAAACAAACTGTACATTACATAGCAATTACTAATAAAGATTCGAAGACAGAATTTTAATTATTATTTTACGATGATTAGTGATGAAGGTATGTCAGATCATGTGAGGATTAGACACCCTAGTTAATTTTCATCTGATGATTAAACACCTCAACGCTACCGGGGGGGGGGGGGGGGTTAGGTTAGGTTAGGTTAAGTTAAGTTAGGTTAGGTTAGGGTCCGTAACGTTAAGTTAGGATAGGTTAAATTATTTTAGGTTGAATTAGGGTAGGGTAGGTTTGGTTAGGTTAGGTTAGGGTAGGTTTGGTTAGATTAGGTTAGTTCCATACCTCCATAAGATATGACGATGTGAAGGCGTGGAACAACTTACCTCCACCCATTCCTTCCTTTAAATCATCTCATAAAAGGTATCTATTATATATGTACTAAGATTTTTATAACACATACACACACAAAGTACCATATCATTACGTTCACTCAGTGGCGTAGCTAGAGTGTGTGCCGCCCGGGGCGGCCCTTGAGTTTGCCGCCCCCCCGTGCCCCCACAAAAAATACATATTGCACAGTGACTCACTCGTCTTGTCACGATGGAGACTTGTGCAGAACTGAAGTGAATTGCTTGTAACTGGTGGATTGGTCGGCTGTACATGAACTGATATGACCCGAGACTGCATGGTTTTGCAGCTACTGGAGACGTTAATCCTTCCCTTTGTATCGGCGGCAAGTTAATCCTCGTCGTATCTGACCTAACACCTGACCCACACCACATGAGCTCACTGGCGTACTTGTTTGAAGTTGTTTCCTTAATCCTCAACAGGTTACAGGTTGTGTGTGTGGCGGGGGGCCTCATAGCAAGGGTGTAGCTCATGACGTGGCCGTGATGATGTGGGTCAGGTGTTAGGTCAGACACGACAAGGATTAACTTGCCGCCGATACAAAGGGATGGATTAACGTCTCCAGTAGCTGCAGATATGGGTGATGAGCAGACCCAAAAGTGCCGCCCCCCCAAAAGTGGACCGGGGCCCCCCCCTAGCTACGCTAGTGCGTTCACTCCCTCTAGTGCCCGGACACAGATGGGGAAAGGGTGTTATCCAGTGTGACCCAGTCTAACATCACAGGTTTCCTAGACTCCCGTTTCGTCCTGTACTAACACTGGACGATAAAGGTTAAAACGAAGTAACAGAACAACCTCACGAACGGCTAGTAAGTGGTGAAATGATAAACTAAAAAATAAATTGTGATTAGGTATATATATGAATTTAATGTGGTTCATTTTGTGTAATATGTTTTGATGATGTGATACATAAATTCTATAGTATCATACACTATTTTTGTTAAGTTTATCCTGAAGTGTATGTAAATTCAATTAATAATAATAGTGATTAATAGATAGTTGTATTTTATTGTAGTTACCCATTTAAAATAATTCATTTTCTCTTAATCTTGCAACTTCAAGGGTGAACTACAACAATTCTTCCAAGCGCCAACTATCATGATCACAAAAGTGTTTATCTACTCAATTATTCAATCAGATTATTGCAACAATCTGTACTGGTTACATTACTTAAAGGAGAGTTTATAATAGAGAAGTTACGTAAATAATAAACGGTTAGAGGATTTCTTGGGTTGTCCTTGGTTAAATTGACTTAATGTTTACCAATCTATACGCGCACTGTCTATGTGTATTACGAAACACTGTGAACCTGTATGACGATTTAAGAATGAATATCTAACTATCTATCTATATATCTATCTATCATGTATACATACACATGATACACTATCTTATTCACCTGTGTACTAAGTGTATCTACACCTGAGGGCCCCACACCCACTACAGGTAAGGACATCTCAAGGTCAATCGGCTCCCGTCCACACCTGAATCCCGATGAAGCTTCGTGTCTTCTCTTCGTGTCCAAAACTGAATACCAACACCGAGTTTACTGGTCTGCCTTGAAACTACCTCTGATCACTTATTCACTTACACATTACCAATGATTAAGAGTAATAATTTATTTATTTTTTTAAATATCTTTTTGACGCACGAAAAAATATGTTACTTTAAGGTAGTGGCATCAGGGGTTGTATAATTGAACGTGTGTGTGTGTGTGTGTGTTTCGAATAATTAAAACGTTTTAAATGTATAATCTATGGGCCTAAAACATCAATGACATAC